GACGGGCAGCGGGGGAGGGCGAGCGGCTCTCGGCTCGTCCCTTCTCGTCCTGGCCGCCGGTTTCCGCTGTCGGCGCCGCCGGTTCCTCACGCCCGGCGGGCAGCTGCAGCCGCCACCGCGGCGCGCGGCGCCCTCCCGGTTCGGCTCGGAACGAAGGGGAAGACCGGGTCAGCGACGCCCGCCGGCCCCCCGGGAGCGCTGGCGAGCGCAGCCCGCCCCGTTACTTACGCGCTCCCCCGCCTCCCGCCGCCGCCGGTGCCGCCGCTCCGCGGCCGCGCTGCCCCCGCTATCACTCCTCGTCTTCACGGACAAGACAATATGGCGCCCGCTGGCGCTCACCCGGAAGTGAAAGGCGTCACGGTGCTGACCCTCGCCCGGCATATACGGGAGCCTGTGGCCGCCATCTTTGCTGAGGGCGGCTGGGCGGCGCTTTCCGTTCCCCTCGCCCCGACCGGAGCGCCAACGCCCGAGCCGCCATCTTTACTGCGGGCAGCACCGCCGGTCCCGCTGCGGGCGCGCTCCGGGGCAGCCGCGGCGGGACAGGGAGGCGGGGACGCGCCCCTGCCCGGGAGCGGGGAGAGCCGAGCGGGATTCACCTTCCCGCCTGCGGTACTGTGGCTGCACGGGTGACTTGTAGTCGGAGTGTGATCCGTGCTTCCATTACGGGGTCGGCATGAAGAAGTTGATAAAGCTGGTAGCTGCGCCTGTAAGTGCTGTAAGTACTAATGGACAGGCTCCGGGCAGTGGCCCTACTCTGAAATACATAGTAACTTAATATATAACTTAATGTGCACAGCTTACAGGGCGTGAGCGTTCAAAGTCAGGCCGGTGTATGGCTATAAGGGAGTTTGTGAAAAGGACAATTCTCCAAGTTGTTTATTCTCAATATCCAAATTCACTTCTGTAAGTTCTACCTGGAATTTTTCCTTTTATTTTAGGGCATGAAGGGGAAAAAAAAATCACCTGCAGTAAACAGCTCATCTTGTATCTTGTATCGACACTGGGGTTGATTCTGCAGGCAGGGACTGAGTAATTCCGTTCCTTTGTGTGGAGCAGAGGTTTCCATTAGCTGGCACATTACTTACCGCTGGGATCACTGCCTTCCCTTCCTTCAGCGTCACGGATGTAAAAGCCTAAAACATCCACAGTCTCTCTGATCATTGCATTAAGTTATATTAATATCCACACGGAGTAACAAAATTAAGTCTTATAAATCTAGAGAAAATTGAAGGATTCAAGAAACTTTTGTAACGATTGTCAGTGCCAGTTTGGCTACATATTAGTGTTGGCTGAAGCATTCTAGATTTTCCCCTCTTTGTGTCACATGGAATGGCAGGATTGAAAATGCTTTCCATGGACAGAAGCGTTATGAAAGTTTTAAGTCTGTTGACTCACAGCTGGAACTCTGGAGTGATGCTTATGGATGGACAAACTTCCAGCTGCTACTGAAACCGGGCATGTGAAGGAGTCCCACTCTTGGTCCTGGTTTTATCACAGAATTGCAGAACTCAGTTCTTGTAAAGGGCACAAACTGTATCTGTGTCCTTTGCCACAGAGGGTAAGGCAGGGGAAACGAGAGGTACACCTTAAGTGTCCACGGATATGGCCTCATCTCTGGGAGCTCTTCCACAGGCAGGTATGATGTGAGACAAAACACAAGCAAAAATACATTAACTCAGATGTTCAACATACAGCTTATGTTTAAATAACACAGCTTTCCAAACGGCTGTTTTATTTACACATTTTTCTAACAATATATAACACATGAAAAGACAAAATGAATAGATGACAAATGCAGCTATTCTCTCAGAAACTTGTTAAAGCACCTTGGTTAGACAGGAAAACTGATCAGACTTGTGTTTAAGTACAGTCTGTATGTAAGACCCTGTTTACTTAGTAATATTTGGAATTAGAAATCTAAAAATGAAATGTACCATGTATCAGCACTGTAGTCAAATTCTAAAAATACTATTTGCTATTTAAATACCTGCACAGTAGAATCAGAGTATTAGTTCAAATAGATGAAAAAAGTAAATGAATGAAACTAGATGAAAGTTTTAACATGCTTGATTTATTGCTCACAAGTATTTTGAACTTAGCAACAAGATTTTTGATTATTGGATTGTCTTTTGTGTAAGTGCAAGCACACATGAACATACCAGGGATTATCTCCATGTATAAATGACAGCAGAATCAGAACTCCGCTTTGTGGAATGGCTAAATAGGGAATGGTGGCCATTGACAGGGTGGTTTCACTACAGAATACATTAAAACAATTCCCACGTTACACAGCTCAAAAGCAAAAAAAACCTAAACAGGCAAAGCAATGAGGTAATTGCTAAGAAGTCATAAACTCACTCAAAATAAACGCTCTTGTTTTCTTTTAATAGCAGTTCTGCATCTTTACATTTTGTACTAGAAAAATACTGGAAGCTGCAATAGATGTAAGAAACATTCTTGATACTTAAAAGTTAGTTTTTTCTACTGCTATCAATGATGATGGAAGTATTTATAAGTTTATATAAGCGGAATATACACCAAGTAGTTAAGTGGCTACATAGCATTGCAATGGTTTTATTATAACATAAAAATTCACTTAAATTTCTTATGTAATGTTGTACATAGAAAGTGTTTTGACTTGCACAGATATCCATCTGAAAATATATTTTATAATCTCATTTACAAAAAAATAGATTATGAATCATTTTGAATAATCACTTTTCCACTATTTCTGCAATTTGTTTATACAACAACAGGAGAGGTACAACAGCTAGAACAGCTGGCAAAATGACAGCCTAAGACATGGTAAATAGACACAGAAGGAACAATAATCTGTTCTAAAATAATTAGACTGAAATCGTTCCCCTAAAGGATAGTGGCCTTTCTTTCACGAAGATGTACAAATCTTTGCACAAATGCATAAATGTGTACAGGGCACAGCAAAATAGAGTCCAGATATTGAAAACTAAGGAGTATCAAATCTTTATTTAATCAGGGTTGTTGTAACAACTCTCATCTAAACATTATCTATCTTACTTAGTGTAGACTTTGGTTATGATGTTGTTAGCTGGAATACAGATAGCTAAAACTGAGGTGTGCTACCACTTTTTAATGAAAATTGAATTTGTTAATTATTGTTAACAGAAGAGTTGTATTTAAATGCTTTCTTTGTTCCCATCTAATTTGTTTCCTTTTTAATACATCATAGATTTTTCTACTAAAGAAATTACTCCTTTCTTATTTTGTTACCAATATGTTCAAATAAGATTTTTATAATGGGTTGAGAATTTAGATGCATTAATTTCATGTCCCTTTATGATTCAGTTTGTGTATAAAAAAGAAGCGTACAGAGAAGCAAATGGTGAAGTTAAGACATTTCAGCCTTTTAATGAATTTATAAACCACTCTCACCTGCTACCACTTGAAATCCATAGGCAAGAGCACTTCATTGATGCACACAGAGGGTGCAGATGGGAAAGGGGAGGAAGGCTGGCAGACTGCATGGATTTAATTTTCTAAACAAAAGTGATTACAGTGTGTACGTTTTGGGCGGCAAAGTTCAGGGTTTGTTTTTCCTTCACCTCTATTTGTAGCCATCTCTTAGGAGACCAGACTAATGCAAACATGATGTCTGTACACATATTGTAGACAGGTTAGTATAGTAAATCTCCCCATCCTTTTTTTGCCACTTTTGGTGTAAATGATATATAAATCCAAAGATAACAAAGCTCTTTCTTACAATCTGTACTAACTCCTTAGCTGATGCAGTGGTCTTTGTTGATGCCTCTGTTCTAGGGAAAATTGTAGAGGGTTCCAGTTGTCCATATATCCCATAGGTGAAGTATTCCCATTACTTACTGATGAGTGAGGAACTATTTAATTTGAATCCTTTGTAATTGTTCTACAGGCACTGTCTTGTGACTGGTCAGCAGAGAGTTGCTCAGGGGTCAGTACTGCAGCCTGTAGGCAGAGCAGGTGTGGTGGTGGGGACAGACCAGACTACAGCTACAGCAGCTCTTCCTGCAAGAGCTTTGCAAGCTCACAGAATAAGTGATGAGATTGGGAACCACTATATCATGCTGAAGGATCAATGAAAGCAAAGACATTGACACAGAGGCTTATGGAGATCCCAAAAACATAAAGAACAAATGGAGCTGATGAAGAAAGCAGTGGTGCCCTTGTGAGAACAGAATGGTGGGATGAAGAGAAAGCTGTTTTGAAGCTCTGCCACGTGAAGACCCAGGCACTTTCTCAGGGTGGGAGACCACAAAAGTATGGTGAAGCTCTGTAAAGAGTACATGCTGTCAGCCCGAAGAGATTGTTCGTTGGTAACATAAGACATTTTAAGGAGTCTTAAACTTTCAAGCCCTTCACTTAAATTCTGAAAACATACAGCTTTTCAATAGCATGCACACATCTGGTAGTTGCAGGAAACTGCCAGGTCCTTGACTCTAGAATCATATTTAACATTCTAGCACATATGTGATGTATACTCTTGTTTTCCCAGAATGCTCTGAGCTTCTTTTCCAATTCCTAATAAAAAATTTTAAGTCTTCAGTATGCACATTTATGTAGTTTCTTTAGAGCCAAACTTTACACAAAATAACTTAGGTCTGTGTAAAGGACACTGTGACTTGCATCTAAAATTGTGTGTGACATCTTGCATTGGTCATCAGTTTTTTCATTGTGAAGACATAACTTCAACTATTGCCTTCCTTTTTAGAGAATGCTTCCTTCTATCATATTTTTACACCTGATTCTGACTCAAGGCTTACAGAGTTCCTGCCAACATAGCGTTTTATTTCAGCTCAGAACACCTCATCCAGGAACAACAGCGACGGCTATCTTGAATAAAGGCATTGGCTCTTTTTCATGGCACTTTCTCTCTATGTTGTATAAAATACCTGTAAATACAAGTAAATGTTCCTTGGCTGTTAATGAGAAAATAATCCTGCCGGCATCTTTTATGACATCCTAGGCAGTTATGTCCACTTGTGAAAATTTCACCAAACAGCTTGCAAACTCCAGTTAAAAAGGAGCAAAGACCACCTCAGGAATTTCCTGAAAACAGCATTAAAAGTAGGAAGTAACAGGTTAAGAACCTCGTTCTGTTTCTCTCCTAGTTGCGCAGTCTAGGGAAGTAGTTCTAGGCTAAGGAGTGGAGTAATACAGGTACCTAAATTCAGTAGTTTTCCAGAAGTCACAAAGAGAGCAACGTCAGGTGTCAGCTACTCACTCTGAGTGCATTAGGGTGGAGGATTCACTCCGTGTGTCCTCCTAGCAGGGTTGTGTCACATAAGGGATACTTAGTTGCCATTTGCTAGACTGTTGCCTGGAACTAATTCTGAGTTTTGATCAGCTACGTACAAAGAGG